TACATTACATTACAATGTAAAAACTTGAATGTCTAAATTCATCCGTGATGTTTTCATCTATACCGGCAACTTCAAAGCTTTATTTATTTATTTATTTATTTTTTGAATAGCCTGCAATTCATATGTTATCGCCAGGATGCACATCAATGCTGTATCCATTATTATAAGGATACAACAAGCTCTGTAACATGACTGATATGCAGACGTTGCACTGTAAATAGCTAATTATTAAGATATACTTCTGTCTCAGAGTAAGCCTAAATGTCTTTTTGATTCTATCCGTCATGTTTATTTAAATTTAATTGGGGATATTAGATGAATGCCGAACCATTTTGTTTATTTAGATTTTATATTATTCTAATATAGCGAGAGAGAGAGTGCTCTCGTAACGGAATGGATGTCTTTAGCCATTTATAATAGGTCTATCTATCTCCAGGGATTTCACTTGCATATAACACACAAAAAAAGAAATGGTCATCTTTGTGTTAATATGCCTTGTCCCCGACCGTGTGTGTATTTATTTGCTGGACATGGGATTAACTGTAAAAACCCCAGTATAACCCAGGATAACGGTCTATCGGCTATACGGAACCCCGACTGACAGGATCGTTTTTCTTCTTTTTATTTTTATATGGTATAAAAATTATGCCTGCATATTTTAGTAGGCCTATAACTTTTTTTTATACTCTGTCACGTGAGTGAGAACGAAAAATAATATTTGGTTCATGAACGAATTTTTGACAGAACTATCTTGACTAGACTATCAGAGGAAAAAATAAAGACAATAGTTACACCCTATTATTTTCATAAAGAACAAACAAAATTGTAATTAGTAGAGTTTTATTTCTAAAACGAATCAAACTAATAAAAAATAAACAGCTTACATGCCAAACTCTTACATTCAAAACTACGCCATCGTTGCTTAAATAAAGTTTGAATACACTACTAGTTTAAAATCACAGTATACTATAATTTGTGTAAGACTATGAAACACACCTATATCTCGTAATTACAGTTTAATTTACATTAAATACTAGCTTCAATGACAGCCCCACTTTGCACATGCGCATTAAAATCCAATACTGCGCATGCTCGTCAAACATCCAATATGTATTGGATCTGATCAAGCTATGTCATCGTACTACAGGCTGCAGCGAGGACCTCTTGGTTTAATCAGCAACTGCCGGGTTTCTTCTGTGGGGCGTATTTGGAGTTTCCGCGCGAGAGCGCCCTCTGGCCTTCGAATGGAGATTTACTACTGATCACAGAACCGTGCTTCACTGAAAGATACGCATGACAGTCACAGCTTCGGTCTAATCACAATTTCGATATAATTTCGATTTATCGTGCAGCCCTAGTTTCTCAGATCCAGTGATAAGTATTGCCATATATCAGAATGCTGCAGAGACCTGCATTGATGTACAGTGCTGATATGTTTCTGTGGTAAAGATTGTCAGTATGATTTTTGAGAGACCTCTTTTAATCTTGCAGTGCGGCGTTCGATCGAATTGCTGAAATTAACTTCAATATAGATGCAGATGATCATAGTGTAAGTGTCAGCCACTGAAAACACTGTCCATTATTCAAATGATCACTTAGCCCTGCTGTAAGTGTTTTGATGGTTTATTCGGATTGTTGTGCTCTTTAGGCCAATTCTGCAGCTTTTGAGGCATGTTGTAAAGAAAGAATCCAGCAGTTCGATGACTGTGAGGAAGAGGAGGATATTTGGGATGAAAAAGAAATAAACTATGCAACACAAATCAAATCCAGATCGAGGTACAGCACATGGATGATATGCTTGAGGAAATAGATTCTCCTGTTTTGTTTATTGAATTCACATTCTCTATTTATTCTTTCCAGGTTCGGGGTGTCTCTTTCTTCAGATAGTTCACCCAAGAGTGCAGTGAGGAATGGGGGTGGAGGCCGCGGGTCGGCCTCTGAGGAAGAGGATGTTGAGGAAGAGGCCAGTCCTCCGCATTCTGCAGTGGCTCAGACTCAAAGTGAGTGCTGCAACATCACCCACAACTCAGAATCTTTCAGATGAATTAGTTTATTGAACATTCTTTGTGCTTGTGTACAGATTCAAGCTGGACGGCGAGTTTTGGTGAGACGGAGGTGAGCTCCTCTAGCTCCTGGGGTGGCCCCCCTCAGCAGGGAGGCGAGGGTCCGCAGGACACAAGCTGGACCTCCTTCACCGAGTTCCAGCCTTTCAACAGGTAAGAACACTCTGCTTTGAAGAAAGTTGTATAATGCTTCTTACGACACTGTTTTGGAATGTTTGTTAAAGTGAGGTAATATTGGTTGGACTGTGTTTGAATTATGGGAATACCTTTATCAGTGCTGATCCATTGACTTTTACATTACAGCACAGAGTCCAGCCAGACTGAGGGACATCCTCAACAAGGCCAAGAGAAGAACTGTGAGTATGCTGTATTTGAGTCTTTCTGAATATTAACTCCGTTAATATTCAGAACGTCCTATTCAGAAATACATTCACTAAGTTCACTTAGTTTACAAAACTAAAAAGAGGGTTGAAATGTTGTCGTTTAGACCCTTAATTTTTATTATTATTATTTATTTATTTATTTTTTGCAGCGGCTGGCAGTGGTTCGGCTACAGGAGCGTGGGAAGGAAGTCCTGGGCAAAAAGCCCCTCTGGTGGCCTCAGACAGCAGCTCGTCTGGAGGCTCAGACAGTGAAGAGGACCCTAGAGAAAATAAGACAGAGAGTTCCCCTAAAACACCTGCCAACCAGACAACAGCATCCTCGAGGTAAGAACACTTTGCGAAGAAATAGCAGCATTAGTGTTTTAATGTAGTTCCAGAAAAAAAGGATTCTCATGACTTCAGGAAGGGAATAATATCACCATTTTTAAACGATGACAGAAGACCTGTAGTGTGATGATCGTTTAGTTATGCTCTCTAAACACACCACTTAAAGGGAAGAGAAATATGACAGGCCAGACTGAAAAGTGAATCCCATTCGGACACTTCCCTATATATTAATTGACTTAAGGTCACATTTACTGTAGTTTGGGGATTTTTCACAGATAAAATCCAGTGATTTCAATAGGAATTCACGCAATTGGAAATTTTGTGTGAGGGTGAAAGATTCTTGCAGGGTTCAAATTGGTTGTGAATTTGCTTTTGACCAACAGAAAGTTGCTTGTTTTGTTGTGATGCTTCATCGCTACACTATTGACAGTGGATGGGTTTTTTTTGGCCCACAAAATTTTGCTAATGTTGACTGCACCTTTAGATTGCCTCTTACTCCACTTGTCCAGTTGATTCAATCAAGTTTTAAAGGGGTCATCGGGTGCTACCTGCACTTTTACAAGTTGTTTGAACTGAAATGTGTGTTGGCAGTGTGTGTACACAACCACCCTATAATGATAAAAATCCACCCAGTGTTTTTTTTTTATCTACTAAAATCTTTACCCCTTTCTCAAATCGGATGTCTGTCTGTGTGATGTCACAAAAACAGCCCCCTTCCACGATAGTTTGATTGACAGTAGCTCTGATCCTGACAGTAGATTGACGGCTCAACGATTTTTTTGACGTCACATCGTACTTCATCTTCTCATCAAATCTTCTGACCAATCAAATGCTCTCTAGAATCCGAAGCGCCCGCCCCCTGCACTATAAATAGACGCTAAGATCGGTCGCTTGTTCACAGTGTAGTATTTCCTGCACAGTGTAGTATTTCCTGTACGGTGAATGGCTCGAAGTGCACAATGTAGGTGATAGGGAACGATTTCGACAGTGTAAATATGCTTTCGATTGGTGCAAATGAGGTCTGGTTTCACGTTGTTTCACACAAACCGCGGCAGCGCACACAGTCTGATCCGAACTTTGGCTCCGGTCCAGAGACGAGATCGCATGCAGCGGATCATATGCGCGAGTCGGCATATATTAAAAACTTTTACAACTACACAGCCTCAGCATGATTATGACCACTATTTTGTTTTACTAAACAGTTTCATATTGAATCTAGGGGGTAATCTATTAGACTGTGGCTGTCAAATGCGGCTTTACCAAGCTCAACGGCTCTGGCCCGAGCAGATTTAAACTAAACGCTATTGGCTATTTTTAAAAGGGGGCGTGGCTGCTCTATGTCCCGCCCTCTCTTCCTGTTTCAGTTGAAATTACGTCACGTGCAGAGCTGCAGTTTTAAATTTGTTCTTTTGATTCAGATAGGTCATGTTGTGATGTATCGATCTGCCGTTGGTCACACGGTATCACGTGATGTGAATTCGCATGCCAGAGTTCACCAAGTTTGAACTTTGGAACGCAGCGAAATGCGAAAACTTTTCACACGGGCTTGCGTTTCCAGTCTGATGCGTATGAATGGAAGTCAATGAAGAGAAAAGTGCAGTGTGACCGCGGCTTGACTCCTAAGCGATTGAGGTGTTCTGTTGTTGGATGTAATAATGAACATAGCAGTAGTCATTTACTCCCGACATCTGAGCCGCTGAACTCGCATTGGATTGTTTGTTTCTGAAGGGATCCCCCCCCCTCCCGCGATCAACCTAAATGCGTCTATGTTCATGCGAATCATTCGTGATCCAGCTTCACCTACAGAAGAAGTGTTTAAGGTTTTTTTCATGAATCTAGCAAGTTTCACAATGAATGCGGCTAAAGTAAACAGTCCCTCGGAGAGCAGCTTAGAAGAGAGGGGCGGGGTCAGCAGAGCTCATTAA